ATCCATCCATCCATCCATCCATCCATCCATCCATCCATCCATCCATCCATCCATGCTCTCCTGCCCAGCTTCATGTGTTGTGTGAATCCAGCCACTTGGGCTGTGGAGGGGGAGAGGAGTGGAGGTTGGCAGGCAAAGCCAAGCGTTAGAGATCCATGCAAAATAAGGTAACTCCAACCTGAATCCTGCTGGGGGGAGACATTCCCCCTTCCCTCTCCCTCTCTCCCCTTGCAGTGGGGGCCTGGGTAGCCTGAATGCAGTTCCCTCCTTGGAAGTGATCAGCAAGCAAATAAATGTGGTGCTCCAGTTGAGAGGCGGTGGCGTGGAGCCCCACCTCTGGCCAGCGAGACCCTAGCAGGCAGGGCTTGCCCCTTCCTTGTCGTGGTGCTGGTGCTGTCTGGGAGGGACATGCAAGTCAAATGTTTGGAGTTTGCAAGTGGGCTTGGTAGGGTTGCTTAGTGAGGAGACTCTGGCCCATTTGGTTTGCTTCAGGGCGGGGTGGGAACGCAGAAGGTGGAGGAAATCCATGCCTCTCAGTGTTCAGCCCTCAAAGACTCCTTTGGGGTGACTGGGAGGGGAGGGCAAGGGGCGGGACCAGCCAGTGGTGGGATCACCCAACAGGGAGCCACAGTGGAGAGAAAAAAGAGCCTGCAAGAGCACACATGCCCACAGAGCAGGCTCTGTGTGCCACCTCTGGCACGTGTGCCATAGGTTCGCCACCAGGAGTATAGACTCTTCTTAAAAACATCCAGTGATGGAGTTCCCACGATTTCTGGAGGCAAGCTGTTCCACTGGTTAATTATCCCCACTGTTAGGAAGTTTCTCCTTAATTCCAGGTTGCTTCTCTCTTTGATTACGGTAGTTTCAAACCATTGTTTCTTGTCCTGCCTTCTGGTGCTTTGTAGAATAATTTGACCCCTTCTTCTTTGTGGCTGCCCCTCAAGTATTGGAATACTGCTATCATGTCACCCCTAATTCTTCTTTTCTTTAGCCAAACCCAAATTCCACAGCTGTTCTTCATATGGTTTAGTCTCCAGGCCTTTGATCATCTTCTCTGAACTTTTTCCAAAGTCTCAACGTCTTTTTTGTAGTATGGTGAACAAAACTGATTGTAGCATTCCAGGTGTGGTCTTACTAGGTTTTTATAAAGTGGTAGTAATACTTCACATGATCTTGATTCTATGCCTATGTTTATACAACCTATGAATATATGCAACCACATTTTCTTAAAATATATTGATTCACAGATGTAATGGAGGTTTGTCAATAATTTTCCAGTATTGTAATCATATGGTATGACAATTAATGACAAAAACAACTTCCTCTTCCAAATAAAATGGCATCAAGAAAGCAGTGCTGAAGCAATGCAAATATCCTTGAAGTACACACTCAAAATTACTGGAAGGACGAAAGAGAGGTAATATTGATTCAGGGGACACAATTTGAGAGGTAGAAAATTGGCTTAATCTCAGAAAATAATACCATCACCCCACCTCACCCACTTCTACTCTTGATAGGACAAGAATATAGCCAAAGTGTTTTAGGCCTGATTTTTCATAGGTAGGATTTTTTCCCCCTTCATAAATTAAGTGGAAGAAGTTTAATTTGTGAAGGAAGTCGAAGGGTATGCAATCTAGAGTGAAATTATGATTGTTTGTTGGCTGGGAAAGTGGCAGGGGCTAGAAATAGCAAGTAAGATTAGAGGCAACATTTTACCACAAATACACAGTTAGTTTCAAAACAGTTCTTTTTCTGAGAGAAAATAATCCTGTAGGAGTATTTAGCTTTTAGTAGAGGATAGACTTCATTTTAACAGGATATAATTACTATTTACTCTTAAGATAACAGTGTATCCTATTTAGGCTTATATCCTAAACGATGATGTATATTCTAACTGTATGTTTGTAAGACAATAGCAGCATAGGACGGAGCCCTTCCCTTCCCTGGTTCCATCCAATTCATCTGAGATCCAAATTCAAAGAACAATGCAATTTAAAGTAGAGAAATAGTAACTCAGGGAAAAAAGTCTTTTTCAGTGTTCTTATACTGAATACGGTTGTTTTTGAGAAGCAGCTATATTATGAAGGAAAATGGAAGCTGACTTGATTATTATTGATAAATATATTTTATAGTCAAGGAACCATTGTTTTTTCTAGAAGCTTCGCTTACTTGCTTTTGGCTGCCATGGAAACATGGGGGGCGGCATGGTATTTGGGATGGGAATAATTAGTATAGGAGGATTTGTCAAACAGGGAGTTTTGTTCTCACCATCATCTGAGCATGCTGATGGCTGATGTTTGGACCTGGTCAAGGCCAACTGTCCTGCGTACCAACCTGATGATGCTATTTGGAGATGCAACCCACATGACACCTAAGGAAGATGCAGATTGGGCAATGGGGTGGGAGTTTTTGGAGGGAGGGGCTGGGCAAAAGTTTGATATGTATGATTTCACGCTTTTCTGCCTCAGACCTTGCGTTACTTCGCTGCTATCTATTCATAACCAGTGAAAGTACTTTAATTCCACAAACATTGGAGTGAGAGGTTTCTTTCTTGGTTACTGAGGGAGGCATGCTTGACAAATAGTCTTACAACAAACCTTTGAAGTAAACAGGAGTGAGAGAAAGTATAAAGTATAAAAGAACAGGAATCTACTATATTTTATTGTGTATGAATATGTGTTCGTGTTTCTCCCTCCCTCCCTCCCTTCCCCTCTCTCTCCTTAGCATTTTCCAAGTGCAAGGTCCATTTTTTATTTTAACAGATCAACCAAGTGTTGACCCATCCATTGTTACAGAAATTTGAAGAGTGATTGGCCCAAAGTCACCCAGCCAGCTTTCAGTTCTAAGGCAGGACTAGAATTCATAGTCTCCTGGTTTCAGGCTGATGCCTTAACTGCTGGATCAAACTCACGGTCTCTCTCACACTCTCTTTCTAAGTCATCTACAGATGTCTCTTTGCCTTTCTGGCAGGATTAGGTAAATTCTGTGAATGTACAAAATTTTACAAAATTTCAACAGCTTAAGTGAAAGAGCATGAACCCCTTGAACCTGCACTGGACTGCATGGGTGACTCATGAGACAAATTATGACATTTCACTGTTTTGAAGCTCACTTAAATACCAACTTTGGCATCTACTGTTTCCATTTCCTGTTTCCAACTCTCTGTAAGATCAAACTAACCCACCCACTCCCCAGAATATTTAGAATGGTTTCAGGAAAATTAAGGTGGCAGCTAAAGAAAGGGAACAAGATAACTGACTTTTACATTTCTTTCAAAATATGTAATGTCCTTGTGAATGGAGGAGAAAAACCTCATTGTTTCTCAGGCACAATTTTAACTTTGCTAGGTCAAACCCTGCATTACTAGAGTTAATTTGATATAATTTCTTTGCTATTTCAATCATTTAGGAAAGGGAAAAAATACTTCTTTCCCTATTTATGTTTCAAAACAACAATAACGGCCAATTTTCTCCACCCTTTGTTTTATCATAAATGTGTACATACTCATTCTATTTTCAGATGTGTATATTAAATAACATCTGACATTTCTTTCTTTAAGGAAATATTATGCAATTAGAATTCTTGATTCCAACCTAACCTTTCATATAATAAATGCAATATATGATGTAATATAAGAGACAGATATTTAATTATAATTTGAGTAGAATAATAATAGAAGAATGAAGCTTTCCCCAAAAGTTCCCAACATCATCACTTTCTTACCAATAAAATAAAAGGTGAAAATGTATCTGATGTTATATAATTGTTGCTGGCTCTACCAGAATTTTGAATAGGAGTATTCTACAATGCAAGAATGTATTAGAGTTCCCATTTTTGACCAAGAATAGGAGAGAGCTATTCAGCTTGTCTCTTCGGTGTTTAATATTCATTCTAATGTCAATGACATTCCAGTCAATGATGACATTTCAAAACAGAGTATAACATTTAACGCAATACTTCTCATCATGTGTAGTTTAATATTTTCTAAGTCCCTCAGACAAAAAATGTCCATGGCAGCCAATCTAAATATCTAAACAAATATTCCCACAAATCCAGGCATCTTATCTACATTGAGGCATTTTGAATTGTTTTCTGATAATAATAAATGTCTTGGAAAAATATCTATTCTTTACAGCTCTCCTTGAAAAACCACTTAGCAAAAGACGAGACAATGAAGCTGTACAGAAGGCCAAGATACTTTATTCTTCATGTATGAATGAGGGTGAGTAACTATTTCCATACTGTTAGAAACTATATGGTGCACTACTGTTAGTCTCTGTTAGGAGAAGAAAGATGTACCAAAATTAATTCAAAACAATCTAGAAAGTCCTAATGTACCTGTACAGGGAATTTTACATTTCAGATATGTGCAATGGGGCAATTTTTTCTGGTTGCAGTTCAGTCTGTGCAATATTATATCACTTAAATTATATAATGTCATAGGCTACTATTGATATTTGTGTATGAACACACATATGTTTCATATATATCTCTTACTCTTTTTTTCTGTCTTCCTCCCTCCTCGCGCTCTCTCACACACACATCCTTTCCTTTTGGTGAAAATGTCTGTTTAGCCAGCTGGGAGGCTGACAAACAAGCCTCCTTTTCCCCATGGTCCGTGCCCTCCCACTACGGATTGATGCCGCAGGAGGGAAGGAAGGAGAGGCCTTTCCCAAGATTGCCAGGATGCCTCTCCCCACTCCCCACTATACCGGCCTTTACAGCCAGGAGCATCTGGGGCGGGGGGGAGACCCTGTTTTTTGCAAGGTCAGCAGAGAAGAGACGGAGAAAGCGCTCTTCGCCCCACGTGCCCTTGCCTTACTCAGGCTGCTGCCTGGTTGGTTGTGGTGCTTTGCAGTCAGAGAGAGAATCTGGCCATGGTGGCATCCTAAGGGCTCCAGATCCACGCTATTGAGTGAAAAGCCGATGGAAAGTTGTGCGCTTCTGCAGTGCCTGTAAAGGTGGCAGCAGAAGCCTCCTCTTGGGATGGCAGAAGGATTGGCAACTCTAGATAGATGAGCTTCTCCGGGGATCCTGGGCTAGGAAATCTCTTGCAGGGTGTAGCCCCATATGGTGGGGAGTGGGGAGAGGCATTGTGCCAATCTTGGAAAAGGAGGTGCGCACTAGTGGAGGGCGAAGGTGCTCACCTTTGCCCTTGGTGGTGGGGGATGCTTTATCATGCACCTCCTTTCTTTTTCCAGCCCCAGTGCCGCTTGTTCTAGCGGCACCCTGGCAATAGCAGCTGAGCGAGGGAAGGTGACGCATGATAAAGCAGCCCCCCACCACTACCAAAGGCAAAGGGGAGCACCTTCACCCTTGACTATTGTGCACTTCCTTTCTTTCTCCGTCTGCTCCAATGAGCGAAGGAGGCACCGGCCACTAAAACGCACGCCCGCGTTCAAACCAGGCTGCCTCCTCTCTCCCCGCAAGGGCTCTCTGAAGGGGGAAGGAAGGTCTCTCCCAAGACCTACTTCCCTTACTCCGTGACACAGTTCTGGGACAGCGGGATATTCTTTCTTTCACCGGTACGGGGGTATGGCCAGGCCACCATTGCTAACAATCTGGTCCGGTACACCAGATTTTTACTACCTCTTCTGGCATATAGTACCGTACTGGGAGGAACCTACCTCTGATAATGAGTCAAAAACTTGGATGATTTGCATTTGCTCTGAAGGTTGCCCGTGACTGAACAGCAGTCAAGGCCTGAACAGACAAATGGCAAGCACCAGAGGTGATATTCAGGAGTAAAATATTTTGAATCCCACCACTGGCAAGCGAATACATTTTTCTGCTCTCTATGCCAAGACAAGCTATTCAAAGTGGCT